AAAACGAGCAAGAGAAAGAGGGAGAGAATGAAAGTGAACAAGAGAAAAAGGGAAAAAATGAAAGTGAACAAGAAAAAGAGAGAGAATGAAAGCGAACAAGAGAAAGAGAGAGAGAATGAAAGCGAACAAGAGAAACTACGACCGTATCTGTAGGTGCATTACTCTGAACATAGAAATATTTTTCTCATCGTCGTCGTGTACCTCGTATTATTTTCCGTGGATGTCGATAAACTATTTCCTGCCGTCGAGCACAATGACACGTTCTAGCTATACGAAGCGGGAATTGATAGAAGAGCGCGAACATCGGACAATTGTAAATGTTCGCGAGTAATGGGAAACTAATTGCGACGTTCTGTCGGTACCGCATTAAACGAACAACTAAAAACAAGCTGAATTGCTATGTCATATTGTATGTTGTGTATATTATGAATGTTTAGAGGACCAAGAAATATACTGTACCGGTGTAATACGGCTCGCATCATTCCTCTCCTCCCGTTCCACTCCAGCCAACGAAGACACCATGGTTCTCTTCGATCTTCCTTTTCCTTCTAACACTAAATTCTTCTCGTGGGCTGGACAAATTTGATTAGATCATAAACGCAGTGAAGGTAAGTGATACATTGTTTCGAAGAAGAGAATCTTCTTTAAGCCTTACGCTGGGGATGAAAACTGTCCAGTTCGAAACTTTCGGTTCCAATTAGCGGGGATTAGAGTTGCTCGGATAATCTAGTTCATGGGAAATTATGTTTTACACTATTTTTGTGGGCAACTGGTATATTGTAAGTAACTTTTACGTTGAACTACGGTGGAATTGAGTTCCGCTGGGAGAATGAAGTTTTTTATGGGAAATTAGCTTAGTCGAGAAGGATTTTATGTAATTAGGAATCGTATTAGATCGGATTAAAAGCGAAGTTACTTCTATCGATAAGAAAAGGATGAATGTATCTTAAAGAAGTTTAACCCTTTGCACTCGAAAGTTTTTCACTAGAAATATTCAATATTCTCCGAGATACAGACGATGTTCTTTGAAACTAATTAACGAGAAACCATATATAAATTAAGAAGGAAAGTTATTTTATTTCAATATTTCATATATGGGTCGAATGACCCATGCCTGATGTCTTGTTTTTGCAATTATTAGAAAGGTGACAAATGTTTCTTTGAGAAATTATTAAAGAAATTCATTTATCACTATGCAAATCGAATTGTAAATCAATGAAAGTCTGAACAGATGCACTCTTGGAGTTTCTATAGCGAAATTTTCAAAAGTCAGTTGAAGTCCTCGGTAGTTTTAGTGTTAATATTATATATAAGACTCTATAATTTTGCAAATCAAATCAAGAAGTGACTGAGAGTCACCTCTCGAGTGCAAAGGGTTAAAGAACGTTGTTTAACACTTTGACTGCCACGTAAACATTCATCAAAACTCCCATGTACTCGAAACAGTTTTCTTCGCTAACCAGAAACTAAGAAACCAAGATTCTTCTTAATAACTGCACTATCTTTCTTATATCTCATATATCCAACAAAATTCGGTTCGTTCGATACGTCATGAAAGAAATCAATGTCCACTTTTCTGTAAAATATAATGTCATACGGGTGACGTGGCAATCAAAGTGTTAAGGTGCGATGGCTTCGAGGTCTATGCACCGATCTCGCGACTGTCGCGCATAGATCGTTGCTCTTCGCGTCACTCGAGTCCTCTCGATTTAAGGTGCGAAGACTGGAGCTTGAAAACTGCGGGATCGCTTTGTAAAACGAGTGCGAAAGTGCAAGCTGATCTCCAAAGCGCGACTTAAATACCTCAGTTCGAGACCGCAGACACCGTAAGGATCTAATTTCACAGAGTCTAATTAAAGAATACCGGATCTCGATAACCTAGACACTTCCCTACACAAACGTGTCGATTTAATCCGAAGTCCTCTCGAAAGCAAATTTACTAACTTCGTGAAGCTTCTCTTTATTAACCATACTATTAAGTACTAATCTCCCATAAATATAAAAACGCAGACGCGAATGTCACGCTCGTCTTCCAATACCCACCAGTCTGTCAGAAGCCTCGAAGGTACATTAAATAGTTAAATATGCCAGTACACACTCTCGATAATAATTATAAATAGCATATCATTGATACGATTGATTGAAACACTCAAAGGACGGCAACTGCAGGGAGTGGATCCATTGCACATAAACGATGTCGATGAAGTACTAAGAATATTCAGTCGCCACACTCAGGGATCAATGAGATCAGTCTCTCCCGCTGAATCTCGCGATAAAGAATTCTGCTTCGCCGATTAGAATTCAGCGACCTTCACGCCGTTCGGGACACGGAAGATCCTTTCTCCCGGTGGAAGTTCGCCTATAAGATACCTCTCTAAGCTCAGTCTGGCTGCTCTCGAGTGTCCCGTCCCAATGAAAGCCAGAGTGGCGTCTCTGCCGGCGTACTCGAGTATCACATCCGACCCGCCGGGATGATTTTTCAGGAAATCCGTGCAGTCGTACACGGAATCGTAGATCACGACCCAGCAGTTGTCGACGGTGTCGTGCCAGGCGACTTCGTCCAGGCTGATCGTCTTCGGTTCCTGCAATTCCTCGCTCGCGGGGGCTCGCGGCTCCTCTTTGATCTGTTTGGCCGCCCCCTCGGCCGTGTTCTCCTCCCTCAGGTCGAGGAAACCGTCGCTCTGCGACGACGAGTCCCTCAGATCGATGGATCGGAGGGTCAGGCTCAACAGATCCATGCTGTCTTTCGATTCGCCGTCGCTGATTCTGAAAATCGATTGAATTCAGCGCCGATTAGAAGGCAGCTCCAATTTTCCAAATTTCTGTAATTTCAACCCTTCGCGGACGGAGATTCTTTGAAGTATAGGAAACCTTCGGCAGATGAGGTTGAATTATATATTGTTTAAATAATAGAAAGAGAAGAAATTATATTTATTTGCGGCTTACTCTTCCAAATATGGAAATTTGTTCGAAGGGTTAAATATTCACACGATATCGATCATTTCGATTTCCGTGATACGTTCGATATGTACGCGACGAAATCCTTCAGGGAAATTTATCAACATTCTCGTTGGAAAATTGTTGTTCAATGTACAATGTAATTCCACGGTAGAAATTTTGGCAGCCATTAATCACGCTCGCGATGACACAGTAGAATGTTGGCTAATGAGAAATTTAGTTACAAAAGCCCGGTTGATGGGACGAGTGATTAACACTGAAGTGCAGCCATGGCGAATGTAAAGGGTGTTTGAAAATATTAGAGGCAAAGTTCTCGAGTGTGCAGTGTTTCTTCGTGTAAACGAGGAATTTTGAGGAGACTCGAGCATTCGGCGTTACACGGATGTTACATGGTTACGTCGTGTTAAAGGCTCGGAGCGTCGCGGGGCGACAGGTGCCGTCACTAACGGCACGTCAAAGCCGCGAAGGAAATTACAAACGTCAACGATACGGAACCGTTGAGTCACCTGCCGACAACGCGAGGGAATTCGGAGGAAAGTTTGCCGGAAAGCAAATGAGGAAGTCTTTCGAGTTCAAGCTGCCGTTACGATCCACTTTCGGAACGCGTTGACTTCGTCGCTGTCTAATTCTGTGCCACGGAAACTTCGATTATATTTTGCTTACGAACTGCATAGAGTTTTTCAATAAAATAATAAGTTATATTCAAGTTTCTGGTCATTTTTATATATTTTGATATCGTTTCTTTATGTTTTCACTGCTTTGTAACGTACACCGTGACCATATATCGATTAAAAATATTTTCGTACAAACATCGGCGTGTGCCACATGTGGTACACGTGGCACGGAACGTGTCAACCGAGCGATGCCTTTACGTGATCGGAAACACGTGACGAACGAGTGTTCAGGGTGGACTGAATCGCGCGCACTAACCTCGGTTCACTCAGCTCGCTAGTTCCCCAAGGAACAGCCAAAGTCGGACTGACAAAATTTTGTTTCTTTCGTCGAACAGAGATATTGACAATACACACAACTCCGTTGCACGCTCAATCGTCGAGGCAACAGAGAAAAACAAAATGATATTTACGTTCGCACTGTTCTCGACACAATCGCGACCAATTTCACAATTGTAAAAAACTGTGTTTACGAAAACGTGCGTTTACGCAACGAACAACTCGTTGATTACGAGCTACTGGATTGAACTCGAAGCTTCAGAGATGCGGCGAATTATTAATTGTTTAATTGGCTGCAATTCAATAGACCCGCCGAGCCGCGACCTTTCTATCGACGTTATTGAATACGATTTCTAAATGATTACACTATTTCACTGGACTATTTCAAAAGTTCTCGTAGGCGAAGATAACTGAACTCAAATGGAAAGTATCGTTTGACGATTACTTTGGTTCGTTCACCGGGTTCTCCTCCATTTCTCACGGACCTTCCGCCACCTGTCCAGGTTCTTACTGGACGGACATCGCGCGCGGCAATGGACGCTATCGAGAAATCAATTCCTCCGTAGGGGAAAGGAATATAATTCTATTACCGGTTGAAACCCGATGCGTGCCTGCAAGGTGTTCCATGGTCACGCACTGTCTACGCAACGCAACGACGGGTTGCGGCTATTGCATCGTCACTGCGATCTGTATGAGTCGCTCAGAGGCCAATGTGGCTAAGGGCAGAAAACGAAATCAGCGGCTGTACGAGTCAGAAGTTGTGAAATGAAGGGCTTTCCGACATAGAAGAAACGAAGGAACGAGTACATTCTTTAATTATTGAAAAGAATATTTATTCCATTGAAATTTACGAAAATTAAAAAATAGAAGAGGACTTCCGCATTGACTTCTGAGCGACTTGAATGTCTATACGAGAGTTATGCAGAATGTGATTAAAAACTAGTACTGATTTCTAGGGAAATGATCTGTTCGAGAGATTGTCTTAATGGAAGTAGAAAAATTAATTAATTTTAACCTGATTCGTAGAACCAGTCTTTGCCAGCTGCTACAGCAAAATTTAAAGACTGGTTCTATGAATCAGGTTAAAAGTAATTAATTTTTCTATTGAATATAAGAATATAAAGATAATTGAATATTTACCAGTTGCTACAGCAAAATTTCAAGACTGGTTCTATGAATCAGGTTAAAAGTAATTAATTTTTCTATTGAATATAAGAATATAAAGATCATAGAATATTTGCCAGCTGCTACAAAATTTAAATATTCAATGAACATTTAGTAATTTATAAAACAAACGGTTATTAGAGATATTGAACCATAACTTAAACTAATTTGTAAAGATAGTTTTTATGTATAATTCGAGCGCGTTGAAACTACTCAACAAATTCTTTACTCGTACCACGTCAATGCAGTAATTCAATTCTCGCTTTGCATACGTTAAGAAAGACGGAAAATATTTCATTCCGGCTTGTTCATCAACGATAAACTTCTGCTGTCGACTAAGCCGTTAAACCGACGACTTTCCGCGTGGCAATTTTTTATCCCTAAGTCACATTGACAGAAAACGAATATTTTTTTCCCTCTATCTAGACGAGTATCAACAGAAATTACGTATTCCTCGTTATGCAATCGGTCTTTAATAATTCTACGCACTCGCATAAATCATCAAGCCCCTCTAATGTCACTCGTGTGTCTTTATCGCGTCATACTGTTCGATAACGAACCCAAACATTGTTGCTATAATGATTTATTGTTTGCATTTTTCAGATACGCAAAATTTACACGCGATCGCGTTAACATTCGTGCGTCACCTAATGAATGAAACATTGAAAAAACTGCACGATGAAATTTCTGAAGAAGCTTTTCACAGAGAACATTCGAATTTCTTGTACAAAGAATGTTCCTCAATTATATTTCACAGAAGCCTGCAAATTAGCAATCAATCCTTATCACTCACCGGAAATCGATGAATTCACTCGGTGTATATTTCACAAAAATCTGCGAATCGATCCTTGCCACTAACCGGAAATCGGAAGATTCAGGAAGAAGAACTTAGGAAGAAGATATTCACTGGAGACAATGAGTACTCTTAATTATTGTTTATTCTGTCGGTGATCGTTATTCAGCGAGAATTGGATCGATACTGCGGTAGACCAGCCAGCGACGGTTTCAATTACTCTTGATCGATGCTTTTATCATTCGTTTTTTCTTTCCCTATTGCTGACAGTTCGTTGCTAGATACAGCAAGCCGCGTGCCGTTTCCTGAAATGCTTTTAGGTTATCTGCGGAGATTGGTTTAATAACCGGATGGAGCGTATCGATCAACGGTACTCGAACGGGAACGTGACACGCGATTCGCGGTTTCCGATCGCGAAACGATGCGGCTCGAGGTCAAGGGGAAAACATCGATGTCCGATCTGACGTAACGTGCGCCGACGATCGAATCATTTTATTGCATCGGATGCGATCGTTGCGCGAGAACTCGTTGATCTGACGTTCGTCCGTTTGCGTTTCATTCGACATCAGCCGCCTTAAAACACTGACAACAGCGTACCATTATTGTTGCCGTTCTAACGAAGAAATACAGTCTAATACCGCTAAACCTTTAATCAGCGTCATTTTGGAAATGTCATATTTCTAAACGAATTGTTTAGCTACATTCGTTTAGTATATTTCATTTTTCTAATTCGATGTTTGAATTCGTGATCGTATCCAATTTATTAATTATAGAGGGACAAAATAAAATCGTGCCGAACATTTTGCAAGGTAGTTTCATCATTGAGCAGATAAACACTTATGTTTGTAAAACAAACGACAGACGTAGCTTGATAACATTATTTTTCAGTCTGCAGCCCGCAGCAAAGAACAATTGAAGTTTATATTTGTTCATAAGAAAACAGCGTGATACCGATTAGTATCCAATTAATAAAATAACGCCACGAAAATTTACAAAACTCAGAGGCACTCGAAGTGTACAGTGCATTTATGTACAATTTCGGTGGGACGCGACGTGAAAATTTCAGTGGATATCGTCGCAGACGCAGCAACGTCGATATCTGACTATCCGTCGATACAGAGGATGCTCCGCGTCGTCTTGTGCTGACATCTTGCCAGCAGGCGGCAATATTTAACAGCGACCAATAACGGATATCGTGCGAAAGAAATCAGTGCTGCTTTGACACGAGATAAAGAAATATCTAAGCCTGCGGTTATTTACCTACCAAAAGAAAAACAAAGTAATTGTACGCGGAAGTTTGGAAGGGTCAGGATGGTTTTTCTCGAATAAAAATTAACCGTGTGATGATTATGTACGCAATGTGTTAACCCTTTGAACTCTGTAAGCTCCAATATTGCACCAGTTATAATATTAAATATTTCAATGAATCTTAAAGAAACTACCCTAAAATTATTCGATTTTCCACACATCCAAATTTTGTACTAAGAAGGAAAATAAAAGGTCGAACAAATGTTATAGCATTTCTCATTTAATGTCATTAAAGACACTTAGCTATGAAACTTCGCTAATTACCAGAGCATTGAAGAAAATATAAAATTTGATTCAAATTGATTATCTATTTAGAATATATTACATAATATATCTGAGTTTTTCTATGTATAGTGATATAAGTTGACCTCACTGAAAATTTCCATCAGAATTCAGTTTTCTGAAAATTAGCCGTACGCAATGTGTTAACACCTACGCCTCGAAGGACATCGCACGTGTCCTGTCGCGTCCCAATTTCTGAACGCTCTGTATCGGCCTCCGACAAAGGACGCCGGGCTACACAAGAATCGGTTCTTACATAATCGAATCTGCCAACTTGTAGCATTCAAAATCAACGGCAAACGCGATCCCTATTCATCTAATAAAGATAACAATACGGTAATGAGTCTATTGAAAAGATGAATTATTTGTCTGGAAAACAAGCGATTGTGTCTGCAACCTTTTCATACGTAGAGACTTCGTTCCGTCACGTAAGAGGAATTTCGAATTAGTCCTCCGAAAGTGGATCCGATTCGCGAAATCATTATGTAAAGGAGATTGCGGACGAATGACCCGTTTCCCTGGCCGACAATAAACTCCATTGAATTTTACAAAGCGCATTAGAGAAGTGGTTGCCTTCGATTTTCCGGTAAACGCCGCCGCGCCTCGATTTTCCGACCGGTGCGCCGCACATATTCTACCCTACATTCGAAATATGTATGTAGTACATGGGTTACGCGACGTGTACGTAAACACGTTCCGTCTCCCCTGCTTTATGTTCTTATTTATACACAATACGTTACTTAGGGGAGAGGCTTTCTTCAATCTGAAATCTTGCTTTATTACGGGCAGAAGCGGCCGGGAATTTTCAACGGAACCTCCAGAATCCGCTCCCCTTTCACGTGAATCTCGGCGAAACAAACTCATTTGAAAAAGTTAATTGCGAGTCTAATTGCTGCGCAGCTCAGCCACTGGCCTCTCGATTTTCGAGCTTATACCGTTCCAACGGCGTTCCTGAATTCTATCCAGAACCCGCAATTCCGATGGTTCTTCAAGATTAATACTTGGTGTGTTTGTTTGAAAATATAATCCTTGTTTCTTTCACTTAGCTAGGAGTCTCCTCGTGTTTTAACGAAAATAAGGACTGTTTTAGAAGTCTGTGCGACAGTAATCCTCAGCGGACGAGAATTCTTCGAAATATACAAAACCTTCAGATGAAGCTGAATTACACGTCGATTGCTTAAACAATGAAAAAAAAGAAACTGCGTAATCTCTTGCTGTTTCAATAACTAAATCATTTGTTACTTAGCGCTCCAACTATGGAAATTCGATCTCTGTAATGTCGACATCCGTCCGCAAAGGGTTAAGTATAGTATAGTAGTTTTGGCAAAGGATATCAAAAATTCAGGAGTGGAAAGGTCGGAGACTCAATTTTCAAAGTCATCAATGATTTCTGTAGATATGTCTATATATATCTTTCCGTAGATATTTCTAGCTTCCGTAAATTCTACAGGTACTTCTACATTACCTAGAACCATTACAATTCCCTAATTTCCTATAGAACACATATCCATACGCATCTCCCTTCATCTCCACGAATTCCAAGCATTCCCATACCACAGGATATCAAAAATTCCCAATGTCAATCGACATCTCCATACGAATCCGCCAATTCACCCCTAAATCCCACGAATTCTACAAACACTCCCACACCGTAGAAAACCGTTGCAATTCCTCCAGCATCCGTTCGAGAAGCAAGCAGAAAATTTCCAGGCCACGAGGCGCAATCCCGCCCGCCGGCAGCAGACAGCCAGAATCAGGATAAAAGACGGGGCGAAACCGCGCTCGGAGCTAATTTACTAATGCCCTCCAGTGTTTCGGCGTCGCGACGCCGATCCGCCGCTCTCGAGGCCGTGATCCCGCGCAGGGCAAAAACGCGGCGCGGCTCTCGCGTCGCGGCCATCGGTATCGAACAGCGCATGTCAGCTCGGGGCGCAGAGAGCGGAGCGGTCGCCGAGAGGCGCCACGACGCCGGCGTCGCATGGCGTCGAGGGCAGCGCCGACGTCGACGGGCGGCGAGGTGGATAGTCGCAGTCATGCCATCACCCTGACGCACGTTCTCGCGTCTCACGGTGTGCGTGACAGGGAGCGGAGTTCCGTGTTCGCGGGTCAGTCCAGGGGCGAAACCGTACGGGAGGAGGCGAGCCAAACAAACGAACAATCGACGAACGATCCACCGATCGACGCGCGCGAGAGGGCCGAACGAAAACGGGAGAACCGGTCGAACGATTCCCTACGAGACACGGAAACTCGAGCCGAGGCGGACACCGAGGGAACACGTTGAACCGATCACAGTGCATGGGAATTGTGCAAGGGAATCGCGGAACCGGTGCAACGTGCTC